TCGCTGTAGGGAGAGTAAGGCGCATACGGCTCCATGCAAACTCGGTGACGGCATAATGATGGACGAACCGCTTGGAAAATCCTTACAGCCATCATGTGCATGCCTGTCTTTCTTGCGGAAGCAGCGTCCGCAACGAGCTGGGGCCTCGCTCGCCTTGCAAGGCGATCCTAGGTCGGGCAGCGTTGCCGCGCGGAGCTCACATGGCGACACAGTAATCGACGACAACTGTCATGCCAGGCAGCACGGGGAAGCAGGGACCGTTGGGACCATACGGTCAAGAAACGCTGGGTTAGATACATCATCCTCTTTATCTATCCCTTCCGGTAAGGACGATATCCAGGTGACAGCGTCATTAAAGACGGCCAAGTTGCAGATGGGCAGGTGCGCCGTGTCCGATGATTGCTGCTCGCCATCCAGTGAACAGAGCTCCCGCGAAGCCCTTACGCAACTCTCCCAGCAGCTCACCTCTTCTCGCCAACAGCACCAACAGCGCCAACAGCCGCAGCAGGTCACCTCTCCTTCACCTGCCGCCATCGCCGTCTTGGACGCGGACCGCACCACGTCCCCTTCATCCCACCGGCTCCAACCCGCCCACGCCAACCATGACCCCCCACGGCGGCCCCACCGCATCCTCCCCCCTCACCAGCTACAACCCTGCCACACACCCTCTCCCCCAGCCATCACCCCCGTCCCCACTCCCTGCCAACCCCAGCTCTCCCAGCCTCTAAAAGGAGGGGTCAGCAGCGCACACGTGCTTCAGCTCTCCACCTTCCGAAGAACAAACTCCCTAGGCGCGCTCCCCCGCAAGCTCTCCCTTCTGGGCCGCCCGCAGCACCAAATGCCCCCGGTGCCCCTCAACGGCTGCGACCGGACCCCAGGGGCCAGTCCGCCTCTCCTCACCAGCCCCCTCACCAGCTCCTTCCGCCTCCTGGGTCGTGGCAATACACACCCGGGGCCCGGTGAGCTGGCGTCATTCTCCCCCCAGCTGCCCACCCCCCACCGCCAACCACCACCACCACCACCGTCAACCCCCGCCACAAGAGCCCATCCCGCTAGCAATGCCACCACCACCACCAACAACAACAACAACACCGCCACCACCACCGCCTCCGTTGCCCACCACCATCAACACCAGCACCACCACCACCAACAACAGCTCCCTGTGAACATGCTCACCACGACAACATCAAGCACCATCACGGGAAGCATGACGGGGCCAGCGGCGGTGACCGCCGTCCCCGCCGCCGCTACTGGCGGTACCGACATCCTTTCCTCCATTATCTCTGAGGGCTGCAGCTCCTCGCTGCTGCTGATGCCTCCGCGGTTGGGCTCCTCGTACCTGCTGCCGTCCGGTGGCGACATCTCCCGGCTGCACTCCCTCCAGATTGGAGGACCGCTGTCCTGCGTGCTGAATGCGGACACGGGCCACATCAGCACCACGGCGGTGGAGCAGCTGCGGCAACAGATCTTGTCAGAGCAGCAGCAGAGCGGTGGCGGAGGGGGAAGGCCTATTGAGGTGAGGTGGGCTGCGGGTTATGGCGGTGGCGGTGGGGGGACGGCAAGAAGGGAGGGGGAGGGAAGTGTGTGTGTGTGTGTGTGTGTGTGTGAGAGAGAGAGGATTTAGGAGGATGAGGAGGGATTTACATTGCAAAGAGCAGAGAAGCCAGTGCTGATGACAGGGGGGGGAAAAGATGGGAATGGGCGGAGGGGGGGGAGGGGGAAGGCTTTGGGCGCGGTTGGAGGGAAAGGAGGAGGGGTATAAAGGTTAGGAATGATAACTTACTCCCCCCCCTCTGGATGAACTGCCGTCCCACTCCCCTCGCCCTCCTGCACCCCCTTCTGCCCTCCCGGCCCCTGTCCGGCCAGGTTGACAATCTGGAGAATGTGGGTCAGGGCAGCTACGGTGTCGTGTACCGGGGTGTGTGGCAGGGGGCCCTGGTCGCCATCAAGTACCTGGTGTCCTCCTCCACCCAGCAGCTGCAGATCACCGCCACGGAGGCGCTGCTGTCCAAGTTGCTGGCGCACCCCAACGTGGTGCAGGTGAGTGAGAAGGGGGGGGAGGGGGCCGGGAGGGGAGGTTAGGAGGGGAGGTATGGCTGTGCTGGAAACATGTATGTATGTATGTATGTATGTATGTATGTATGTATGCTAAAAAAAGGGGAACACGTGGATTAGGAATCACGCGGTTGCGACGTAATACCAGTTGTCAGTTGTCCGTTAGGTGGCGGCCATCCGGCGCGAAAGCTACGAGTCGCTCTTGTTTGTTTTGCGATGTTTGAGGTTCTTCACCCAGCACTTTTTACTCGTCTGTCTGTGTTCTTATATGTTGTCTGTTTCTTGCGACCCTGGCGCCACGTGCAGACCTTTGCCTGCAAGGTGGTGGAGCTCACTCCGGACTTCTTTTTCCAGGGGAATGTACGACACAGCGACACTGGCACCGACCCATGCAGTACAAACCGTAATAGCAGGGAAGCTGGAAGCGGCGGCGGCGGCGGTGAGCATGGCGGCGGGGACGGTTTGGCGGCGGAGCAGGAGTCGTCGATTACGTGTCTGGGTGGCGGCGGAGGTGGAGGCGTCGGGGGCCGTACCGCGAGGCTGCGCGACAACGTTCCCGGCGGGCCCTGCAGCGGCAATTTGGCCCCATGCCACTTGCTGGAAGTCCCTGGGGTTGCGGCCGCCACGCCTGGTAATGTGGCAGAAGCGACGGCTCCGCCGCCGCCCCCGCGGCGGGGGCGACGCTGCTCCCCCGATGCCAATGGCGGCGGCGGCGGCTGCTGCGCCATAGATCCGGGGTATAGTCCGCACAACGCGCCCTGCAGCTGCTTGCGGAGCTGCGGTACAGGCAGTACAGCACTGGCGGTTACGGCAGCGGCGGCCGTGCCGCCGTTGATAGCGCCGGGTACGGCGGACATCACGCTTGATATGGAATCTGATTCCGAACCAGATCCAGGCCCGATTCTGGGGGCCGCCGCCGCCGCCGCCGCCGCCGCCGCCGGTCCCTGCACCACTACCGCCGGCACCACCTGGGGTAACTCCCTACACCACCATCATTATCATCACAACCACCAACACCAACACCAACAGCAGTTGGTGCACAGGTTGCGGCCTTTGGTTAGTATCGATTCTGCCGCTGTGGAGGCGGGGCCGGGGCCGGAAGGGGAGACTGGCGGAGGACGGGGTCCACCGGCTTCCGCTCCGACCTACAGCCTGATGACGGGGATGAGGATGACGGACTCCGGGAGCTCTTCCAACCCGCCGCCGCCGCCGCCGCCGCCGGCACCGGGAGGTACGGCACTTGGTGGTTGCCGGTCAAGAGGATTGGGAGCTATGCCGGGGACGGCGCAGCCTCCCATGGCCCAGTCCTCCCCGGTACTCGGCTTGGCGACGAGTAGCGGGCAGGTGGTGGCGGCGGCGGCGGCGGCGGCATCGCACAGCAGTTGCTGCTATCACCACCACGGTGGCGGCGGCGGCGGCGGAGCTGCCGCCGCCGCTGACGGCTGCTGCTGGGTCGATCTTGGCGCGGATGAGGCGGCGGAGGTGGAGAGGGGTGCAGAGCAGCCGCTGATGGAGGCTGAGGGTACGACAGGTGGTGGTGGTGGTGCAGCGGCGGCGGTGGAGGTGGAGGTGAGCGATAACCGGCTGGCGGCGGTTGAGCTGTTGGACTCTTTCCAGAGCGGTGATGGTTTCGGAGCGCCGTACGTGGAGGGATTGGACCGTGCTCGTGGTCCGTCTCTTGGCCCTGTCGGCAGGTATCGGGAGCTGCTGAGGGAGGTACGAGCACAGCCGGGCGACTTCCTGACCCAGATCATCATGGAGGTGAGGGGGGGGTGAAGGAGGCAGGTGGTCGCGCGCGTGTGTGTGTGTGTGTATAACCCGTTCCTTTCCACCCACATCCACACCCACCATCACTAACCCACCACCGCACAACAGGCACCGGGCAGTTTATCTCACACACACACACACACTTCCCCCCGACTGG